TTGATAAGATTGTTTTTCTGTAGCTCGTACTCTTTAAGGACATCTTCCAACTATCACAGGTTAGTCTGAAAGCATTGACTTGAGACGCTGTAAGATTGACTTCTGTATTGACTTGAGACGCTGTAAGATTGCCTGCTGCCACACAGCACGATCATATGGGACAGCTTAGACACAGTGAGAGACTCTTGATTTCCTACATAAAGAGTGGAACCATACAAAACTAAATACTTGTTGTAATACTGCTGCCTTGAATGAGCGCCTTGATCTTGACAACTTCAGCCTCAGCGTTCGGATTAAAGTCTGACACCTGCGGTCTTTTTGGCTATCATAGAAACACTTGAGTTCGGTTGATCGAGTTGATTGCCTCCCGGTTATCTATATCAATTAAGCTTGCAACAAACTTCTGCCAATTATCCCAGTTACCAGTCCCCGTGAGAATAAATTCAGTCTTGGACAGTATTCCCGCAAACAAGCCACGTCACCAGCCACCCTACGCTACAATCCTGCTACGGACAGCGGCGATGCGCTCCGTGGCAGCATCGAACTCCGCTCTGCCCAGCAGACCTTTCTTCAGAGCCTGCACAACCGCTATTCTCACAGCCTCTCCCTGCATCCCACCCCCTATTCCCCCAGCCTCTCCCTGCATAACGTCCTTCCCGCTCGCCAGCAAGATGTCCATGCCGGCCACGGCAGCAGCTGTACCCCTGGCGGCGGCATCACCATACGCAGCAAGAGAGCCAGCCTCTAGGGCATCCGTAATCGTGACACCCTTGAAGCCCAGCCTGCCACGGAGCTCGCCCTTAATCCACTTCTCACTCAGGCCGGCTGGCCGTTGATCCAGGGCGGGATACACGGCCCACGAGGCCATGACCATGTCGACGCCGGCCTCGATGGCTGCCACGTACGGCACCTGGTCGACCCCGCGGATCTCGGAGAGCGTCAGGTTCAGCACGACGGGTTCCTCGTCGGTATTGGCGTTGTTTGAGGCCGCCCCCAGGCCGGGGAAATGCTTGGCGCACGCGGACACGCACTCGCCCTGCTGGGCGGTGATGAAGGGTACCGCCGCGCCCACGACCTGCTGTGACGTGTTCCCAAACGACCGCTGGTAGTAGTCGGTGAAGTCACCCGGCTGCCGGAAGACGTCCAAAACGGGCGCCAGGTTCGAATTGCACTGATAGCGCTTGAGACTGGAGGCAGCGCCAGCACCGGCCGCCTCGCCCGCGGCGGCCGGATCGGCAGAAGCCCCGATCTTCTTGGCACTGAGGTTCGGCTCGCCATCCTTGATGCGCCGCACCTGCCCGCCCTCTTGGTCCGTTATCACGAGGAAGCGGACGTTCTTTCCCGTCTTCTTCTTGAGGAGGGCCGGCGCTGGCGAGGATTCGTATGCGTCCTTGAGGACGGACATGGCCTGTGAGGTATTGCCGTCGACATTGACGCCGAACAGGATGACACCGCCGACGAGCCCGGCCTTTGTGAGCATCACCAGTTCATGCGGGGGGTGGCTGGACGATGGGAAAGAATAAACAACGTGTTGACCGGCGAGAATGTCTAGCTCGTCGCAACCCGTGGCTTGAGCAGCTATCAGCAAGAAGGTGGCCGCCACCAGAGACTTGAAGATGTGATTTGGCATTGTAAGAGGGCAACACTCCATAATTTCTTGAATTTTTGTTTTGGAAAGAAGAAGGTGTCGATTTGTTTCTTCCTGTTACAAGCCAGATCTAGTTCATTTTTTAAAGCAGAATGGCCGCTATCAAAACGCAGGGCGAGCCACCATCATCATTGCAAGCATCTAGGTCAAGGTTCCCTGGGGCGCAACATCTGAATGTAACATTGCGATCAGGGTTTTAGGTCTAGCACCAAAAAAATTAGAAATTGCTGAGACTAAAGTATCTTCCCCAGCATGACGACTTATCTATCTCGGT